CAGATGTTTGCATTCATTCATCTTTGCCACGAATATCAGAATGCTTTTTAATAATTTCTTTGAACTGCCCTTTTTCCAGGGTGGAATGATTGTACAGCATCTTTAATGACTTTAAAAACCAAGAATTAAGTGTACAAGTTTGAATTTATTTATATAAATACACTGACTTAAATATTTTAATAAGTGGTGTTGAAGGTTCTGTTAACGTGACATGGCCAAGGTCTATTAACTTAGTGACGAGCTAATGAAGAGAACAGCAGAGTCACTATCTATGGGGAAGTCAGTTTTACATTATTATGAAATAAGAAGCTGCCAACTGAGAAAAAAGTCTCTGCTCGAAAGTCGACAAGCTTGACTGAAATTTGTAACTGCCCACATGGACAAGGCGAATATCTTCTAGAGAAAAGTTTTATGGTCATACCAGACAAAGGTTGAGGCATTGTTGGAGGCGTAAACGGGAGGCTTTCAAACCTAAAAACACAGCATGGTGGTTGCATCACGCTCTGGGTCTGTTTGGCTGCCAGTGGTACTGAAACAGGACAATGTTCGCAAACACACATCAAAACTGAGTTTGGAATGGATAAAGCGGGGTTACACTACGCTTGTAAACTCTACCAGTTCTTCCAAGAGGAGTGGTCAAATATCCAGCCAGAATTATGCGAGAAGCTTGTTGATGGCTACCAAAAGTGCATGGAAAAATGTGAGGCTGTATGTATATTTTTGACACGTGTGGATTAGAGAAAATTCTAAAAATTGTGCACCTAGTTCTTGCTTTTTAAACTCATCCACCCTGGAAAAAGAACACTTCAAAGAAATCATTAAAAGACCAAAGTTTACATGACGTTCATGCCCATGATGACTCTTCATAAGCTTCTGACCACAACTGTAGGTATTTGCTTAGTTCAGTATTCAGTGTGTCAAACTGGTTGATTTTCCCTTCTCAGTGGGGTGTTTGTTCATAATGGTCTCTTGCACCATCTTGTGGATACAGATTTTTTTTGTTGTTGTTGTTGTTGGGGGAGGGTTATTTGTCTTAAGTGTTTGCCTTCACTTCAGTACACAACGAAATGTATGGGTTCTTTATCTGATCTAGCCAGACCAACCACAGATTCAAATATAATTACATTTTATTGCATTATAAAAGCAAATAAGTAACGCCTGATTGTTATATTGTAAAGATTATATAAAGCAGTGGTTCCTAAACTTTTTTTTGCTAGCCCCCCCCCCTTTTTTTAACAAGAAAATCCCCCACCCATATTTTCTTTTCAAACTCCATTGCAGTTTATTTCACACCTTAAACATTTTTGAAAACAATTAAACAAATAAAAATAAACTGCAATAGATTACAGGTTGCAATAACATGAAATCCTACCTCTCTTACATAACAGAAAAACAAACCATCTTTATGCTGTAATAATTTTATGTGTAGTTGTTGTTGGTTTTTTTACTGTAGCTGTGGGATACTGTTTGTCCGTGATTTGGACAGCCCAGCGCGTGCTCCCGACTCAGGGGAAATTCTGTTGGGGATACCTACCTTGGCACCACCGTTGTGCAAGTGAAGCTAAAGGAGAGTTATCATTCATCATTCATTCATCACTTTTTTCTACTCTTTGGCTTGGGAGGAAGTTGGTTTGGAAGCATATTTCGCTATGCTTCATCTTCTGCTTTGCGTTTGTGTGGGAGCCCCGTCAAAAACTTGTCCATTATGCGCACAGTGTCCAAGCATTCTTTTTTTTTTTTAATTCATACCGCACCCCCACTGCAATAGCTTGGGGCGTGCCCCCCACCTTAGGAAACCACTGAAGTAATGTGACAAAGATTTCACCCACTCCTCAGTTTACAGTTATTATTTTTAAGGTGATCTTGCTAACTTTTTCTTAGCAAGACGACTTCAGTTTATTTTCAGTCCAGTCCTTGTACATGAATACTTTTAGAGGAGTGTTTTTGTTGTTGTTTCTTTTGTCAATAAAAGTGACATTTGAACATTTTGATCATAAAAAGGCACCAACTCAAGGAAAGAACTACAAACTAGCAAGAAGCAATTTTAAATTGTACCATTAGGCACTATGCTACTAGTAGCGTATTTAAAAAACACATGATTTGTTCCAATTTCTTTAATCGAATCTACGAAAAACGCCCTAAATAAGTCTAACAGGCATAAAATCTAATTTTTATACCTGTATTTTTGTGCATGATTTACTAAAAGCTGTTAGCTTAAAGCTTGGCGTATGGCGTGTGTCCTTAAAAGCTCTGAGTAAACTTGACAAGTGGACAAAAGAAGAAGTGGCACTCCTAAAATACATCTACAGCAAATCCAAAAGAAATGGGAATAAATCCAGCACAGAGCTGACATATGACCTAAGAGATGCAACCCAAACCCTTCAGTTGATCTATATTTATCTACTGTTCACTGAAACCTTGTCAGAAGCTTCTCGGTGGAAATTTGTCTGCCAAGAAGCCATTTATAAGGAAACAGAGAGGAAAGGCTCAAGTGTGCCAAATTATACAAGAACTGGACTGAAAATCAGTGACAACAGGTCTGATATTGGGCTCATCTCGGACGGGGATGAGTCTGCCTACAGGAGGGAGGTTGAACGTCTGGTGTCTTGGTGCAGCCACAACAACCTGGTGCTAAATGCCCAGAAGACAGTGGAGATTATTGTGGACTTCAGGAAGCACACAGCCCCACTCCCCCCCATCATCCTGACTGACACCCCCATCACCTCTGTGGACTCATTCCGCTTCCTGGGTACCACCATCACCCAGGACCTGAAGTGGGAGCCCACCATCACCTCCGTCATCAAGAAAGCCCAGCAGAGGATGTACTTCCTGAGGCAGCTGAAGAAATTCAACCTGCCAACACGGACGATGATGCAGTTCTACACTGCAATCATCGAGTCCATCCTCACCTCCTCCATCACCGTGTGGTACGCTGGAGCCACTATCAGGGACAAACAGAGACTGCAGCGTGTTGTGCGCTCTGCTGAGAAGGTGATTGGCTGCAGACTCCCATCTCTGCAGGACCTGTACACCTCCAGGACATTGCGGCGTGCAGCTCGGATCTCAGCTGACCCTTCTCACCCTGGACACAGTCTGTTTGACCTGCTCCCCTCAGGCAGGAGGCTCCGGTCCATTCGCACCAGAACCTCTCGCCATAAGAACAGTTTCTTCCCCTCTGCTGTTGGACACATGAACAATAACCACATGTCTGTCCCCGCCACAAACACATGACCCTACGCTGTGTCACTGCATCATTACATGCTTGGCACTGATCACCACCTGCACTCATGTATATATCTCATGTATATCTCATGCACATATCTTTCTACATAGCACTTTTAATTCTTATTCCTGCTTTTATTTTTTTTCATGTCTATTTAATCGCAATTTATGACACTATGTTTGCACTGAAGCACCGCAGCAATTTCCTAATGTTGTAAACCTGCTCAACATTTGGCAATAAAACTGATTCTGATTCTGATTCTGATTCTGATGAATCCAGATGTGACATTTTTGGTTCAAATCACCATTAGTATGTACGGAGGAGGTCAGGTGAGAAATACAACAGGGAGTGTCTGCAGCTATGTGTAAAACATGATGGAGGCTCTGTCATGGTTTCAGGCTGCATTTCAGCGAGTGGTGTTTGGGATTTTGTCAGACTTAAATAGGAATTATGAATGAGCAAAGCAGCAAGCAATGCAATACAACCTGTAAAGTTGGCATTGCAACTTATCGTTGTATGGTTGAGAAAGGCTTCATTTTTCAGCAAGACTGTGATCCCAAACACACTGCATATATATACCTGGATGGAAAAACACACACACTGTTCATAAGAAATATTGACCTTTGAGCTCATTAGAAGTATATAAACTAAACTAAGTTTTTAGATTGCCTTACTATATTTCCTTACAAGTTTGCCAATTTCAGTGAACCATTGCACCTATTTCCCAATTTTCAAACAACAAATAAAGACGAAATATTGCCTCTACTTTTGCACTGTACTGTAAGCATTGTATCTGGTCACTCCTGCAGTAAGGACCTTATGCATACTGTTTATACTGTCTGTGTATCTGGGTACCATAACGTGTAAAAACTGAATAAACTAACCTTTGCAGAACACGCACTGCCTGGAAGAGTACTAACATCTTTTTTCGTCTTAGAGTGGACTGATGACCAATGTTACCTCTAAGCTGCACCTGGCATGGTCTCTGCGCACAGAAAATCTGTGTTGCGCACAAAAGAACCTAACCTGAATTGAAATTAAAACTTTAACAATTCTGTTTTGCAGTGTTAGTCAGTAAGTGACTGGCTGCTCCCGTATGGGATTAGAACGATGCCACCTTATCCCATAGTCCAGCCAATAATGCGATTCACATTCATATATACGCAGCTAATCAACGTTGTTGACAGGCTATGACAGCGTCATACAGACTCATACTCATAATACAAGTCAGAGCTTTATTTAAAAAAAGAAGAAAAAAAAAAGAAAGTTGTGTTTTCAAAATTGGAGTTCAAGTTATTTTTACTTCCAATAGTGTTAACATACTACACAGGTCATGAACAAGATTTTTTTTTTTTAATTTCATTGTAAGTGGGCTAAAGCAGTTAATTAAAAGTAGTCTAACATAAATTTGATTATTTTAATAAAACATGTGACTTGGATGGATTCGATGCTGGCGTGACCACAGTGCACACGTCTGCTGTTGCTCACAGTGGTCCAAGTGACCGCTCAGGGAGTTTGTGTGTTCGCTCAGACACATGAAAAATTAGAGGGAACATTGCTGATGACCATCCAGGTCATCTGAGAGGTGTTGTGACTGAGGCATGGTTCACCCCAGCTTCGGTCACCCAGCGCTTTCAAACCCTTTCCTTTAATTGGAACATTTTACTAACAAGTTTACTTTTTCCAGCATCAACTTAAAGTGATTACTCTAAATGCTGAACCAAGACATAAAGACATCGCATACGATAGACAGATGTATGCTTTTTGTCCCTATTCGGTTGCCTTGATTTGATTTGTCACGTGATTCTACGTCACATTTGTCCCTGGTGTTTAGCGGTGCAGCTGGAAAAACAGTTGCCTCTTTTAGAACTAATTCGCTTGACTCAAACAACAATAATGGAAATCGGTACAGAAATTAGTAAGAAAATAAGGGTGAGTAACAGTGCGGGTTGAAGCTGAGTGGTCTGCGTGATTAATGTTTGCGTAACAAAGGAGCTACAAGCTAACACTGACTCGCTAGCTTAAATGTGTGAGCCTAGCCTAACTTATTGTTTTATTTTCAAGGCCGAGGAATTGGTACCTCACTCCGGCAGGCATCGTCATAGACTCAATAATTTCTTTTTGATTTGAACAGTTTCCACAGCATAAACTCAGTGCTACGTTAAGTTCATCCTTGGGTTGTTGAATGATAACAGCGCAGCTAGCTACGCTACCTAGAATTTTTTGAAATAACATCTTCCGGTTGTACTTTTAATCTCTTCCAGGCTGCTATCAAAGGAAAGCTTCAGGAGCTTGGTGCATATATTGGTACGTGAATGATATTCAGTGATTACCTCTGAGACAGCAGTTACCTGGTTGTGTAGTCTTACCATACACGATGTGCGTGTTTCTTTTTCTTCACAGATGAAGAACTCCCAGATTATATTATGGTGATGGTGGCAAACAAGAAAACCTCCCAACAGATGGCCGACGACCTCTCGCTCTTCCTCGGAAACAACACGATGAAATTCACAAGCTGGTGCGATTATATTGTTTATTTGTGGACTGGTTCTTATATAGCGCTTTTCTACTCTCCTGGAGTATTCAGAGCGCTCTGAATATGTAAAATATGAAAGAAAGTTGTACCTTTTTGCCTTAACTTTGTTTTTGTTTCTTCATTTTTAGGCTTCATGGTGTTCTGGAGAAATTAAGATCTGTTGCAGCAGGTAAGCCCGGCTGCGTTCAATACATCTCTGCACTTTTTAACCAGCAATGGGAAGTTTGTCTTTTTTATGAACATGTGAGGCTCAGGAGTTTAGCATTGCTCATGTTTCTGTTTTTCTCAGAGCCCGCATCCCTCAAGCAGCTGCAGTCAGACGGCGCTACTGTGAGCGGGAAGAGCCGATTATCTGTAGGTGAAAACGGCCGAGCGGAGGAATTAAGAGGAGATAGGACAGAAGCCCGTGTATCCAGCTCTGCACATGAGAGCAGGTACCTGACGCAGTAGTTTCTCAGGTTGCCCCCTAATTTCCAAATTATGCTTCAGCAGGAAAATCTATGTAGTAACTTAAAGCAAATTGTGAATTGATTGCTCATTGTTTGGGATAATTTTGCTCATGCTGAGGTCTCCAACCACTATTTTTCCAAGTTTAACTGTGGTAATATCCATTTCCTCTTTGGAAGGTCTCATAAATGGTGGCTCAGTTCTTCTGTGTGTTTGTATTATTTGTACTGTTTAAGGTTTTTGTTATACTTTTTTATGATGTAAGTCAGTGATAATTCACACAAAACACAAAAGCATGTCCGGATTTCCCCCAGAAAGTATTATGATGTTAAAAATGACTATTTACTGGAACAAAGAAGTACTCATCAACAAAGAAAGTCTTTGGTCAGAGCAGACCAAGAAGTGTGTTTGAGTGTGGTTACATTTTTCTTGTATTTTGTTTGTTTGTTTGTTATCAGGAGGGGGACCTTGGAAAAGGGTTCCTCACAGCTCTCCTCCAGTGTTAGGCCCCTGGTGGAGCCGCTCCCATCGGAGGCAGTTCTTGACATCAAACCAGAGATGGACGACGACCTCATCGCTGACGAGCCTTTAGAAATCAGCACCAACCACAGTCGTACACACGGAGCAGCTAGCAGACACAGCGCTGATATCTATAGACCCGGTCAGGGCCAGTTCACATCAGTAAGCTCTGCGGAAGCGTCCTTTCATGCTAGGCAGCAGGGCAGCAGAACCAGCAGAACCTCTAGAACTGGATCCAACAAGGTATTATCAGAGTGCTTATTTTGCTCATTTTCTGGTGACGGTGTGTTAGGTAGTTGGATATAGTAATAATGCCTTGCTTTCACCGTTCAGCAAGAAGAGTTTTCAAGGAAGCGGAAGGCACCGGTAGTGAGTTCTGTCGTAAGAGTGAACCGAGATGCAGACGAGGACAGCGACGATGTGGACGAGGACGAAAGCAGCTACAGTGGCAGAGGCCTCTCCAGTAGAGTGTCCCTCCCCTCCAAACCAGAACGGAAGTCAGTATGAACACTTGATGTCATATTAACCTCAGGGTTGGGTTTATACTGTGGAAAGAAAACGGTTAAGTAAGGTAATGTTTATCTGCCTCGTGGATGCTTTTATTTATGGGACTTTTGTAGGTCGTGTGTACCCAAACCACATGTGTGTTTTCTTGCAGTAAAGCTTAAGAAGTGAGTCACAGATGATCAATTTTGCGCTTTGCTGAGCTCTAACAGTTTTGAGGTTTGTATTGTTTCAGACCTACTCTCCCACCAGCCAAGCAAGCCAACAGAAATCTGATACTGAAAGCCATCTCTGAGGCACAGGACTCAATCACCAAAACGACTACCTACCCAACAAGTGCGTTCCCACTGTCGTACATTTAACCACAAACATCCTGTAAGTTAAGCTGATTTTCCATTGTTGTTTGTGTCATTCTCTTACGTTGACCTTTCCCCGCAGTACCACAGAAACAGACTGTTCCTGTGGCGCCTCGTACTCGTCTCGCCAGCAATGAGGAGATGAGTGCAGCCATCCAGCTAGTCCAGGAGCACCTCCACAGCCTGGCGCCCCGGGTGCAGACCTACACCGCCACAGATCTACCTCCCTCCAGAACATCTGGTATATATAATAGAGTTTCATGCGCACAGATGATCACATAGTCTCATTAGCTCACAAGTATATGTCTGTTTGCAACCTATGTCTGATGTTTTGTAGCTGAAGGAGCAGATGACCATAATTATTTATGTCTATATATATATTTTGTGTATGTCACAAGCCCGGATGGTTTTTATTTGGATGATTAGTGTATAGCAGAACTATGGATCATCATAACTGAACAGCATAGTAATGAAATAGTTGTATAATTAGATGTGTGTTGACTTCGGCAGGCAAGTAACAATTTTAAAAAACTTTGAGGTTCTCAAAGTGCTGTTTTGTTTGTTTTATTTATTTATTTAATTAATACATTTTATTCCAGCTCCAACCAGATCGTTAGCATCGCGGCTTCAGTTGGAGAGCAGCGGTAGAGGAGAACCAAATGAATATGGTGAGTTTTAGTTTTAGACAAGCGATTTCCGAATGATATTCCATGCAACTTTAGAAAGTTTCAAAACTATTGAGAAGTAATGAGTCTTCCCAAAAACACTTGATAGCTCCCAAAATTCTATTTACATATTTTTTTCAATCTGTCATGCTTCTAGGGGTGGAGGTCACTGCAGGCGGTGAAGTGAAGACATTTGATACGCGTTCTTTCATAATGAGTCGACCACAAGTGGGAGAATCTCCAGTTGGAAATCAGCAGCAAGTCCTGTCTGCTGTACCACGCACCGTCCAGACCAGGTTTGTATGTTTGTATTTTTACTGAGGTGGCATACACAAGGTGTCTTTCCATTATGAGTGGAATGGACTGAGTAGTGGCACAAAGTTGGTTGTCAACGCAATGAGTTCTCATAAAACAGGTGCTGTTGACATCTGATCAATCGTTGTGTCCTGGCAGCAGAGCGACTGATTTTATAAATGATGATAAATCTATAACATTACAAAAATATGAAGATCTGAAACATACATTGCAGACAAAGCAGCAGCGTGTGTGTGTGTGTGTGTGCACATGAGAGGAAAAGCACTTATAGAAGTGTGGTACTATCCATACTGTATAGATGTGTGAAGCAGGAAAGAAAAGCAGCAAAAATTCAAAAAAATCATTAAGTTACAGGAGAATTTGGTGGATTATAATCAAGTATCTCATTGAATTAATGTTTAAAGCGCAGTTTTATTTTCTGTTCTTTCACCTGCAGTCTCGGTAGTGTTTAATGGTCTGAGAGTAATGAATGATAAATGAAAACAGAATTCAAATGTAGGCTCATGTAAGTGCGATGTAAGGTGAGCAGGAAGTGCAAATAAGTTTACTATTTAAGGATCACTTATTACAGTGTTATTTAATGGTGATGCTATTGATTGGCCAGTAGGTGGTGCCATTCTTTCTGTTGACGATGTTACGAGGATGTACCTCGAAAAGAAGTGAACCACCTTTGTAGTACAGAAAACCCAGAGTTAACCACGAAGATAAGACCATATCCTGTTTCATAGTACAGGCCTGTGTCTTTGTATAAATAACGAGACATTTGTGCTATTACTGGATTGTCATTTCATCTGTTCTGCTTTTCTGACTTACCCTAGCAAGGAGAGAGGTGACTCTGCCAGCCCGAAGTTCATAGTGACATTAGATGGGGTACCGAGCCCGCTTGGTAACCTTGCAGACTGTGAAACTGACCTGGAAGATGTGAGACCACCTGCGAACGTACCTGACGCAGCGAGCCATGCCCACAGAGAGCCCAAAGTCAGCGTCCTTCAGAGGTTACAGGGAGGCATCACATCAGAAGGTGTGTGTGTGCTCTCAGCGGAGTTATTAAAGTGATATGATAATCAGCTATTTTATTTTTGTTTTGCATTTTAAAGCCAAGTTTTAGCCTCTTTAGTCCTGTCCTTTTACCTGTTGACAGATGAGATGATGGACATTGACATGGCAGAGGAGAATGCGGTCCCTTTGAAAAAACAAAAGGTCATGGAGCGATGCAAGTTCTGGCCGGTGTGCAAAAGTGGGGATGAGTGTCTGTATCATCACCCAACAACACAGTGCAAGTAAGTAGCTATGTTAAATGCAATAAGAATGATTGTTTAGGGTATTTTTTTTTCACTTTCAGTCATAAGTCCTGATTACATGTGTTTTGCTTTTTTCCTTAAGGACTTTTCCAAACTGCAAATTTGGGGATAAATGCCTTTTTGTGCATCCAAATTGTAAATATGACGCCAGGTGTACAAAGCCAGACTGTCCCTTCACTCATGTGAGCCGCAGGAGCACGGCTGCACCTCCTCCACCCAGACCAGGTACTCTCTCGCCAGCTTGACCTATGCTGGGTTTTCTTCTAGCCTCCTGTTCACTGATGGGATTCTGGCTAAATTCTGTGAGAGCAATTAGTAGTTTAAACATTTTCAGCTATTGTGGATCCACTAAAAGTTTCCCTAAATTACCTCAAGCAAGTTCACATACGGTTACTTGATGAAAAACAAAACACAAAAAACTGGTGGTGTGCAGATAGAAAGTGAAGCTAATCTGTTTAAAGTTAGCAGAGGAAGAATGCGTTCCTACTATTACCTTTTACTCATGTAAAACGCTTGAATCTTCAGCCAGTTTTGTTGCATTATTCTGAATAAAGTAGACCTAACCTAAAAGATACAGATCTGAAGTCTTTGCCGGGCTAATCTACACCTGTGATATAGATTATCTATTCATCAGGTCAGTCTGTTGGTAAGGTTTAAAATAATCATGCAGAGTAGATCTTTGTCAAGTGCATTGACCCGACTCTCTATCAGGCATCTTGTGCTTGCGTCTGTGGAAACCCCCAGTGCTTTTATAAAAAAAAAATCTGATTAGAGAAGATAAGACAGGACCTTGCTGTTCCCTTTTAGACTAAAGGTGAAAGCGTGTGTTGGGCTTAGAAAGAGGGCAGAGAATTTAAATGCTCCTCCCTGTGGGAGGATGGCCCTGAGAACTGGGTAACAGTACATTCACTTCTGTTGTCCTTGGTGTTGAGCTGACTTGGCATCTGCTGAAGTTGTATTCCCGTGTGAATTTAAAACGGTCTCACAAAAACTGAACAGTGGCCCACGTCAGTATTCGAATGAATCATTGTTGATTTCCTCCCCAAAAAATTGTTTTTAATGATGTCAGTGTTACAACAAAGAAGTCCTTATTGTTTTCCCTCAAAGGCATTTAATGTGACACTGTTTTTACGTATCCATAGCACTTCCATGTTTCTAAACTATCATAATCATCCTGATAGCTTATCCTTGACCCTTATGTTTGCAGCAGTGCAGCAGACCCAGCCTACCAGCATCTGTCGCTTCTTCCCAGAGTGCAAGAAGATGGACTGTCCATTTTATCATCCCAAGGTAAAAACGCTGCACAAGAGCTGTTTTTGTACAACGCAGACTGATCGCTTTCAGATTCACAGCGAATCTGATTTTTTTTCTTTTCCCTCCTTCTTAACTACAGCCGTGTCGCTTTGCTGCGATGTGTAAACGAGCCGGGTGTACCTTCTACCACCCGACCACAACCGTGCCTCCAAGGCACGCCCTGAAGTGGACAAAAGCACAGAGCAGGTGAACAGATAATGCAACTCAGATAAAGACCATCATTTAATATTTAATTCAGCATTATGTGTTTAATTAGATGATGCACCTAATAAATACGGTCTTTCTCCCCTCGCAGCTAAAGTACAGAGACTACGGCAGAAGCCCGACGGTCAGCGTTTGAAGCTGTGGAAAGTCCTTGTGTCTGTGGGCTGTCAATATTTCATTTACCGAATGTTTCAGTTTATTTTAATGCATTGTTTGGAGTGATTTTAAAGGAAATAGTTTTTTAAGTTGAGGAGTCAAGTTTTTTTGTGGGTCATGCTGTCAAAATAATAAATACAGTTATATAAAAATCTGTTTCACATCATCATTTTGCTCATGCTATTCGTGTACTTTGGTGGGACACCGACCTTGATCGGTTTAACTGAAGGTAAGGCAAGTCATACGTATCGTGCAGTAACATACACTGAAAAAGCATGAAACGCGAACATGTTTGACCTTTTTTTGCTTATCAAAATTCTGCTGGAAAGACTTTATAAAGTCTGCAGTTGTTTTTATTAAATACGCACGGATCCAACCAGACTGTAAAATCTGTACATGCAGTCAGTGAGCTAAAGGCACCTTCAGCACTGCAGCTGTGTGCAATAACACCTGCATCCTTCTAAAGTGTGAAAGCCACTTATTACCAATCATTTAAATACAGAAATAGTCCCAAACCTGCTCTCATTCACCTGGTGACTATAGACCTATGATTGTGTCTTTTGGCCTGTGTTATAGCAGGATGGTGGAGGATATCCTGTGCAATTGGTTTATTTCTAAAGTTAAGTGTGTTTCTAGAGTTCTTTCCAAAACTTGCATTACAGGTGCCACTGAGCAATCTTAGTTGTGCACATTCATATGCAGATATCTGTTTATAGAGATTACCCTGTTAGTAATTGTGCTTTGGGCGTTTCTTAAGGTTTAAAATAAATTTGGCAATGTCTCAAATTCAAAACGTCTGTATAGATGTACTGGTTGATTTATGATTGTGGAAAACAAGCTGACTAACCAGTAATAATGAGACATAATTTTTGTGACTCTGAAAAGTATAAACATCAATGTTTTTGATCATGATTCTGGATCAGGGATGTGGCACTCATGTGAATGACTTGTTGAATTATAATCTGTGAAACATACATCAAACATATCAATAAGGAATGATATGGCGTCTTATTGAGCCTAAGACAACATTCCTTGCAGAAGGTATAACCTGGAATCAGTTTTTGGCTTTTGTGGCTTTGTTTCCTTTATTTATCAGCTAGAATGTGTCGTTGACATTAATGGGCAGCTGAAGTTGCATTATAGTTCTATAAAGATATTTAAAGTGACCAAAAAAGCACTGGATTGAGTATAATGTAGGTTCAGTAACACAGTCATAAAGGAACTTGCAGAACAGGGATTTCTTCATTTTATGTGCAATCACTTTATAAATACTATTGAATACAATATAGTGACAATATAAACAAAGACATTCCACATATACATAGAGAGAGACATGAAAGAGACAGAGAGACACCGGAAATCACTTTATGGCAGACGATCACGTTTTGGTACAACACCGGCTCTGTCGCGGCTTCGTGGTGACGTCACATGACTCACAGTTAAAAGCTCTGTGAGCGTGCGTATTTCTCGCCGGGTGCGGTGGCGCGTGCCTGTAATCCAAGCTACCGGGAGGCTGAGGTTAGAGGATCGTTTGAGCTCAGGAGCTCTGAGCTGCAGCGGACAATGTCGATCGGGTGTCCACACTAAGTTCGGCATCGATATGGTGATCCTGGGGGAGCCCGGGACCACCAGGTCGTCTAAAGAGGGGTGCACCGACCCAGGTCGGAGACGGAGCAGGTCAAAGCCCCCGTGTCGCTCAGTAGTGGGATCGCGCCTGTGAATAGACGCTGCAGTTCAGCCTGAGCAATACAGCGAGACCCAATCTTTATACACATCATTATACCTGTCTCTACATCACACAGCAGCCTCATCAGCACGTCTTTGTCTTTTTCATTTACGTCAAAAACATTCACAAACCTGCTGCTCTGCTCGTCCTATACCACCTCCACCTGCAGCACAGCGGCAACTACAGCCTCCACCCTCAATACTCCTGCTGGCCCACAGGTGGAGACAAACTCAAAGTAGAAAATTTATTCTCACAACTTTTTGTCTGGAACATCTGTTCAATTGAGGAAACATAAAATGGGTCCGCTAGAAATGAAATTACTTGTACACAATTCTGCGATTTGCAGCCTTTAATCACAAGTTCAAAAGAAAGTCTTGAAATCAGGTGTAAAACCTAAGAAAGATCTCAGATGCTTGAGTTACCAAATCACAATCAAACAGTCGCATCAAAGCACTTGCTACTGTAAGGTGTAGATCCCACCTTATTGTGGAGAAAAAGCCAAATCATTTTTAAATGACCTTTTAGCAAGGACTTGGCGACAGTGGGAAGGAAAAACTTTCTTTGAACAGGAAGAAACCTCCAGCAGAACCAGGGTCAGGGAGCCACAGCCATCTGTTGTGACCAGCTGGAGGGTGAGAGGAAAGAGCAAAGAAAGCATAGAGAGACAGACTAAATCAGAGAGAAGACAAAACTTTAAGTCCTGCAGTAGCATGAGCCTACAGCAGCATAAGTAATGGATGATTCAGGATCACTTGAAAAGTTCTTAGATGACACCTTACAGTTGTTCTTAGCTGGTCTTGGTGACTTCCCTCATAAACTACCAGATAACATTAGTGCTGAGTCTCATCAGTGCTCTGGGGTCATTATTAATTAAGTAATCATTTTCTATAAACGCCTTCATTGTGTTTTATTCTGTTTCTGTCAGCGCACAAACATTTTTTTTCTTCAGAACAAAAAACCCTCACTGTCTGGTGAACTGCACTTTACTTACCCTTTAGGGTTTAACCCACTCATTGAACACTCAACATTTCAACTCCACTAAATAACAGTTACTTATAAATAACATTTAAACACCACTGACAGAGAAGATTTGGCATAATCTTCATGGGCACAACCCACATACCTTGGCATAACACACACATACACGCACGCAAGTAAGTTCCCTGACTTTCACCTGACCAGAAATCTTCCCATGAGGGACAAACAGCTTGTTTGACATTTATGTCAACTTCCAGTTCGTTTGTTAGGAGAGGGACACTTTAAACCTTTAACACATCAAAAGCCCAGCGAGCCTCTGAAATCTCCTATGTGGCCTTTGAGCTTCATTTTAAATATTTCGTTTTCAGCTGTATTTGTTGTATTTGAATAAAACATGGACTCTCAATGAGATCAGCACACAAACAAATTAATGACTTGGATGTTGCGACTGTTTTACCCTTTTGTTTTTTCTTCTCTGCGGGGTGCCGATGACATCACACAAGCAGCGTCAGCCTGAGCAAGATAGCAAAACTCGGTCTTTTTAAAACCACTCACACGACAAAAACCATCATTACACATCATTTTCCATCATTCATGAGTTTCATCAGCCTTTCTTTTATCTCACAAACAAGCTGCTCTGCCTGTCCTACACCACCTCCACCTGGAGGTTAGCCGCAAATATCAGTACTGCAACAAATCCATGTGAGACGATTCCAGTTAAAGAACTGTTCAACAAATTAAGTTAATTAAAAATAACGATGAGTGACAGTGATGGAAATAGAAGAACAAATTGTTATTTTTTTCTTCTTCTTTTTTTAATACCTACCTTAACTGACAGTATTGTTGTCCACACGTCTTTCATTTAAAACAACAGCGACTGACAGTCCTTGGTGTCAGTTCCCAGCAGGAGGAAGTGATCGCCTCATTTTATGATTTCACTTGTATTGCACAGTAGTTATGACAGATGGAAAATTACAATATTTGGGCATCAACTTTTAGGCAGTTCTTGATTTATAAGACTGACTCATGTCTTGAATGACCTAAAACAACTGCCCTACCCTTCCACCCCTTCAAAAAAATACAATATTACATAGTTCAGTCTTTTCGAAACAAAGTACAGCCTCAAGTATATGCAGCATTATCGCCATGTTTTTTTATTTTTTCATGGCAAACAGGTGGAATATGTTTGAAACTCAAATCCTTGTAACATAACAGAAATCCAGTACAAAACTCACTTGTTTTTAGCCCTTTACTTTTCAAATGTCGAAAAAGTTACTAAGTAAGTAAACAACGAGTGGCTGATACAATTCACGCCTGCATAACAGTAAAACTCAGAAAGAGTGGGCCAAAGAACAAGAAAATAAGAGCAATATTTCTCTCAAACTGGACTTGACACATTCACTGAAATGACTCATAATCGGCCTTTATTCTGAATTAAATATTTAACCATTATTTGTCACGTTTGTCGTTTGCCTAATTATCCCTTACATGTATTTCGTGATTATTAGAAACCTCCCACGGTCATTTCCAAGGAAGGTAGACCACAAATGAGGGTATCGCAGTTTGCATTTGAAATAAATGGCCTGTCTGGGGTTTTTCCAAGTAAGGGAGTCCCGATGAAGAGGAGGGAGTATTGTTTAGAGCAGTAATTAAAATTCATCAAAACTGTCCTTACGAGCTGTCGCTTTTCTTTCTTTCTTTTTCTTTTTTACGAACTCTTACTCACACTGGATGTTATGTGATCAAGTGCAAAGCTTGAGTTTAATACAGGCGCCATCAAGCCTTCTGCTACTTCTGTGAGCCTCACCGAGCAGCAGAATTAGTGCAAGACATACAAACAACAGTTATAAAGATATTTCAAAAGCTTTTACACATTTTTTAAATCATTCACTCAATGTTTAAAAATTGATACGGCGGGATTTGGGGGTGGTTCTGAGCATCCCTACACTCCCAGCAACAGTGGGTCATTGAGGGTTCGGGCTGTACTGCGTCCAAGCTGTGAAAAACGATCTTTAAACTAATATGTGTTCGCCCTGGTTTAAGCCTAATTTGACAAAGCAGCTTTCCTCCTTTCTCTCTCTCTCTTTTGCAGCCTCAACTCTTTTGGACAGCGTTAAATGCCAAGTATTAGAAATGTCTGCCCTTGCCCAAGCTCTTCAAAATTCCTGTGATGGTGGAACATGTTTTTGTGTGGGAGGACTGTTCTGCCAAGCAAAGCTGTTTTAGTCCTGATTCTCTTTTTTTTCCTCCTTTTTTTTCCCTTCTTCTCACAAGAAAATCTTGTTCTTGCACGACCAAATGCTGTCTCGTGATGGGGGCAAACAAGAAAAGGACTAACGAGTAAAGGGCACCGCATGCCTTAAATGAGCCAAAAGCTCAGTTTTAAATGGATTGCGTTGGACGCTTAAACAAAAGCGTGTGTGATTTTTTTTTCTTTTCTATTACAGT